GGGCAAGCCCCCACGCTGGTTTGTAGCTGTAACAGACACTGCAATTGCAGGACTGTTTTAGCTGAAATACAGTGTTTGTCAGTGGATTGGCTCATTCAGGTCCAGAGAACACATGTGGGCAGAAAACAATCTTATTTTCTGACCAAGTAGCTGTGTGACTTCTCTGTCACATGCTTACCTATCAAAAGGTGTATTTAGAGATTATCTGGGAGGGTGTTAACAACACAAGGTGATGAAAACAAGCGCTGGGCTGGGAGCCTGGCAGGTCCAGACAGTTCACATCCGAAAAGCAGAATCTGGGCAGCCTGGTCAAAGCGTCTGAATGGCACATGGATCCCTGCAGAGTGAATTCAGAAGCTGATACAACCCAATCATTTGGTTTTCCTTCTTGAAAGTGAATCATAAGCCATGGGAGCTCAGTTTTGGAAAACAGCAGTGGGATGGGGTCAGGAGCTCCATGATGAGCATCTGGCTCTGGCTTGGCTCTGCAGAGAGGGGTGGCTTGTCCAAGACACAAGGGCAACTGCAATTGTAATTTTTTTCCAGATAACAACCACATGCTTTTCTTTGCAGATACAGGGGAAATGGCTTTGCTCACCATTCAGTGGTTCTCAAAATCCTGAAGTCCTTAATGCTGGAAGGACCAGGCAACAAAACACGACAGCTGACCTGCAAGCATGAAATGCAAAGCTTGGCTTTGCAGCTGATCCCTCAGCTGCTACTTAAAAGCCGTGTTGTTTTGCAAAGCCCAAAACCTCGTACTTTCTCCTTATAGGATTAGAAACCGGGGGAAAAGCACATTACTGAAGTTCCAAAGTACAACTGGATATCACCAGCAATGAGTTCCCAACCTGGAGTGTTATTGACACACAGCAGGGCTCACACTGACCATTCCTCCTCACRTTTGTATGCTCCCTGGTCAAGCAGCACATAAAATAGCATCATCCCAGTGTGCCAAGAGGAAGGGAAGGCACAGCTCCAAGGGATGGTGATGCATGGAGAATCCTACCCCAGCACAGCACATCACGAGCCACAGAGCCCTCGACCACCACGAAGCATTTCAAAGGCARCAGAATGAATGCCTGTGACAGGGGATACTATCTCCTAACTATGTCCTGATAGCATCCAGAGAGCAGCTCGGATGAAATGCATTAGCTGCCCCAAGTACAGCAAAAACAAACGCTGTGATAAATCTTATAAGCTGCCAGAGACCTTTTTATTGTTCCTCAGGCTCGTAAGTTTCCACTACTTCATAAAGCAGCAGGGAGGGAGGGATACAGCCGCCTTCCATGTGAGGGGAAGGCATAAAGCCCAGGCAACATCCGTGGGCAAAACTCTGCTCCCRTCCTGAGTCTGGGGGGCTGGGATACTGCACAGCCACTTGCCTCCTGGTGTCACCTCCCCAAACCCAAAAAAACTTGTCAGCTGGAGTTTGGACAGAGGGATCCAGGGAAGGTTACCTGCTCTGGTTTCACAGGATATAAATGGGCTGCTGTACTCACAACAGGATGCAGGGCTCGATGAAGGTTGCTCTAATTTCTTCCGCATCACTAAGTCAGAAGTGAAAAGKCTGAGAAGCCCCATAGGGAGCAGTAAATGGAATTTCCTCAAAGGCTGAGGAAGACAAGCGTTGAGGAATGTCTGGGGCAGCATCTTCTGTGAACCCATCCCTCCAGCAGCAGGGATGCAGGCTGGGAGTGGGGTTGTGGGGCCAGGGAGAGGCAGCACCTTGTGCTCCAGGGACAAGCAAAGCCACACCAGATTCAGCAGCTCCTCTGACCATCTAAGCTATCTGAGGAGTCACCAGAGCATCGCTCTCATTCTGCAGAGGTGGAGATGCCACTGTGACCCACCCCACTGTGACAGAGCCAGCAAGGAGGGGACCAGGGTCACGCTGGGGCTCCTCCTACCCTCTCCAAACCAAAGCATCCCACCCCCTGCCCGCTGCACACCACCACACACAGAGCRTTTCATTACAAACCTCGCAGTGACAAGGAGTGTTAAGCAGATATAAAGGACATCAGTCATTTACCCATCTGCTGGAAGGCCGAGTTGCCGGCAGAAAATAGAGAGAATTGTTATGGCAAGATCTACCATATGGCACCATTATGTGGAGCTTTGCAAGTGCTTTCTCTGAGCGTGCAAGCAAGATTTCAGCCTTTGAAGAAACGCTGTATTGTTAGCCTGGATACGCAGGAGCCTCTTGAAAGAAGCTGTGGCAGATGGCACAGCTTTGTTCTGTTGCTTCGCAGGCAGTTTGTGCAACCCCAGATTTCCTCCTAGCTGGGGTAAAAGATGAGTGATTCTTCTGATGGCTCCTGAAACTCCTGAAATCCAGAGGAAGCTGCCTGGCAGGTACCACACCTCTGCACGAGCCTCAGGAAGCAAACRCTGCTGACCCAGGCCAGCAGGACACAGCGCTGTTGATGCACAGAAAGCTGCACAAAATCATAAATACTCATCCCAGCCAAAGGAGTGCAAATCAGTAAATCTTGCTGAAATATTCTGCTTTTGTTTGCGCCTCTCTGSCAGCACCTGCTCCTCCCTGGGTGGCTGAGCCTGGCCGGAGCCCCAGCAGGACAGCGGACAAAGAAAAGCCTTTCAGATGGGGCCGGTGTGACATCCCAACAATGCTGCAACAAAACCCATTCAGCCCAGGCTGGGGGACAGGGACAGAAAGGGAAAAGGTTCCTCCAGGAGGAAGCAGTGATCAGTCATTGAGCACAGCAACAACATCTGCATCTGCCCTGGGCCAGGGAAATGCCCCTGCCTGCTGTACACGGCTGGCTGGGACAGGGAGCATCATCCCTGCACGCTGGGATGAGGACCAGGCATTCTTACAGGCTAATTGCTGCATTTTGTGCCCAAGCTGAAAAAAGAACCAGAAAACAACAAAAAACACAAAAAAAATCCTGTTTCCCTGTTGTACCTCCTGAAAAACACTTGCACAGATACAAAATAAACACCTATTTATCTATTCTATTTACCTATCCTAAATAAAAGCCAAAGTGGCCACTTAACATAAAACAGGCCAAAAAACAGACAACAGGAGAGGAGCCCGAGCCTTTAGCTGACCTCAGAGTCACAGCTGCTCCACGTCCCTCTGCAGYCCAGGCCCTCATCCTCTGCTGCTGGCACAGGACAATCACCAATTTCTCACGCTACGGATGTTTCCTGCCTCAGATCAACAGGCACGCTTAAAAACACACAAAGCTCAGGGAATATTTTCCAGAAGGGCYCCAAAAAGAAAGGGATTTTGCCCTTGGATGTAAGCAGCAGGGATCCCACTGTGTTGTTTGTGTCTGTGGGAGGATTGTCCATGTTAAAGGACCAAACCTACTSCTGCCATGTCCCCAAAGATATCCCTATCCCAGTCCTGAAATCCTCCACCCTATCCACTCTGACTCCCTGAYGTGAACAAGTGGGGCAGAAAAGTCACGATTAAGCTGCAAGAGAGGAGCTGGCAAAGGACCAACTCCAGCTGGCAAAGATCCCCTCCAGTCCCTTTAACCTCCCCCAACCCAGAGGGCTGAGATAGCCAAGGACTTTGGAGGGAGCCTTGGTCCCACAGAGCAGRCACAAGCCATCATACCCTGATGGCTGAGCATGCTGGCATCGGGCTCCCACAGGGGTAAAGATCAGCCCAGCACCTCTGAGTGCTTTCTGTGTCTCTCTTCCAAATGTTACACTGTGGGTTTGCACAGGAACAGTGGGATACTTTCCAAACCATTTAACTAACGCTGAAATTTAACACCCGACACCAACAGGTTACTGAGAGCAAGAAGGAGGCGTTGTAAGGAGGGGGGAATTTGCAACTTCACTCCCCTCAAAGGGAATCTGCCCCCAGGGCAGAGCTTGGCTTCCCCCTCCTTCCCACCCAGAGCTGGCTTGGGTTGAGATCTGCCTGATGGGCTTTTTGGGGTGCCAGGGCATTGCAGCTGCTTGAACAGAAGCACAGTGGGCACTCACTATCCCCTCCCCATATGACTTCAGTCCCCACAGAGCCAGCCTGGCTCCTGCTGTTTGTGTGCCCTGGAGCAGCAGCTGCCCCYGGGCCTTTTTCTCAYCCTTGGCTGGGRAAAAATAACTAAAAATCTCAACAGYATGGAGAAGGACTGGMGAGCAGAAGGGCATGCCCCAGKCTGGACTGGCTCCTGCCTCGCTGCACACACAGAGGTTCCCTGAGGCACTGCCCCTGCACGAAGCATCTGGATGAGTTTGGAGATGTTTTCAAAATCCTGGGCTGAGATGAGGTGCCACAGACTTGCTGGGGCTCCAGCACAGAGATGCCTAGTTCAGCACAACGAGCTTTCTGCTGGGGCATAGGGAAAAAGTGACCAATGGGAAAGAATTTGCCCAGGTAATCCTGATTTGGCCAAATTATCAGTGGAGAATGAATTGGCACAGAGACCTTGAGGTGTGACTGACTAGTGTCATGATTCCCAGCTCCCTCTATGCATCCAAGCACCATAGGAAAACCTCACTTCACTGCTGAATGAACTCGAAGTAGAACACCATCCAAAATAACACACCAAAATGTTTTTGCTTAGAGGAAATTGAAGATTTTTTTGGCTGTCAATTTTTTTCTTAATCCACGTTTTTCCAAGTTTTGGAACCATGGGATAAAGAAACAATATCCTGACTTTCCAAATCTCAATGCAGTCTACACCTGCCAATTTTTGTGAAGCTCAGTACCCAGCTATTAAASTCACTTTCCACCTACAGGGGACCTCCTGCTTTATCAGCTTGGACCCAACCCCAGCTCTAAGAAATTTAGAGCTTCTAAAGAGAGAGACCACCCCAAACTGGCAGAACTTCAGCAAGGAGCAGAGCTCAAGGTTCAGCACAGAACRGCTTGCAGCAGCAACCCCTGGTGCTCCCTTCACACCAAAGTTTCTGAAAACTCAGAACCAAGGCCGGGGAGATCGCAAAGAGAGGGGCTGGGGAACAGAAGCAGAAACCCCAAAACTAAAACAGAAATGAAGAAGTATCCTACTTACCACCAGCTCGGTGAACATGCCATCCAGCTCCTCCACCGGCGGCATGGGCAGCGAGGGCTCCATGGTCTGCAGGGCGAAGTTGCTGTCATTGCGCAGCCGGTACGTGATCTCGGGGTGGTCGCTGCTGCGGAAGCAGCAGAAGATGAAGGAGATCCCCCGGCCGCTCCTCTTCCTCGGGGCCATGGCCACAATCCTGGGCGTCCCTCCCTCCTGGGCACTAGATCCTGCGGGGAAGAGAAGAGTGGAGGCTCGAGCAGCCGCCCCGCAGCGCTGCGCTCCCGGCCCGCGGTGGGAGGAGGAATCGAGCCACCCACGCGCTCGGCACCGAGGGGAAGAGCAGAGACGCTTTTCATGCCAAATATTTCTGCTCAGATTTGACGTTTACAGTCCTGGCAACCTTGACAACCACGCAAATTAAAAAGATGCATTTGCTTTGCCTCGTGCCAGGGCTGGCAGCGGCAGGGGTCACGCCACTGTCCCTGTGGGATGAGTCCTGGGTTCCACCACTGCTGCCAATCCCAGCAAATCTGTACCAACCTCCCCGTGCCATGGCAGCCAGGCCAGCCCCCATCTCATACCCACAGCTCACACCCCTCACACCAGGGGTATGGAAAATTTAGGAGGCTGCTGCCAAGAACAGCTGGATGTGCTTGGGACTACCAGGTCAAGACTTCATGTGTCTCAGGATGCCCCGAGCCACAGACAGCAGCAGAGCTGAGAAAATATCCTGCACACGTCCCCCAGCTCTTAAACGCGTTCCTAAACATCCACCAGCAACCCCCGGTAGGGCGGCTCTTTTTCATGGAAAGTTTTGCTTGGCTTTAATTAGATAAACCTTACTTGTAGCTCCAGTAAATATTTACAAGACGCGATTTCAGCTGATAAAAATCACGCGCTGCCGGTAGCTCAGATTTTCCTAAGCAGCGCTGAYGTCGGGCATCGCTTGGGTTTTGCTGATTTCTGAAACTCTGRCTGGGAGTAAAGCTCAGGGCAGGARTCATGTGCCCTGCATGATTGATAACAGCAAGGAACAGGCAAATGCTGCCCCAAAATTGGGACTTTTAAATCAGCAACACAAGARGAGGGTCACCTACGAGGAATGAGGACTGTGGAGAAACACTCTACTGAGAAAAATCAACCAGCAAAGTAGGGAATTTTTGAAAAGCCTAAACATTTGTCTTACAAAGTTACACACCCACATATTTTTATCTCTGGGAAACAAGACAYTGAGATGTTAAGAGACAGGACAAACAGCCAAGGTTGAAATATGGATGACTCAGATTTATTAACAAAGCTATGAAGRGACTCAGGGAAAAAAGGTCAGCATTTGGAGAGGAGTGTCTGATCTCCCCGGAGCCCAGCATTCCCTCCAACTATGGATTTGTACAGCAGAATAAAGAGCTGCTGTGCCCTGTGGAGAGGCAGGGCTGGGGTCAGACCTCCTGAGGTCTGCACCACCACAGCATGACAAACACTGCCCTCTGAAAAGAAGGATCTTGCAGAAAACTCGGGCTCTACCCACAGTTCTTTAACAGAAGATCTGACCCTTGAAATGATCTCGATGGCACGTTTTTAGCACATGGTGTAATCATCTGCTGAACCACGAACGATGGGAAACAGCTATTGCATCTTTGAGCAGGATAATCCCAGGCTGTGCAACTGCTCTGTGCCCAGACTGCAGAGTCCCCCTTCCTCAAGGGCCCCAAATCTCATTTCACATTTTTACATCTGGAGGAATTTCAGCTGCCATGAAAGCTCTCTCATCACGGCTCCCCGGCAGCCAGCACCGCAGCAAATCCATTAGCAGCCTGCTGGCATCCCCTCGGTGTCAGCAGGGTTTGGGGACCTGCTGTGAGGTTTCTCTCCTAAAAAAGGCAGGGAAACAAAAAGCCAAAGGCCTCTGTCCACTCCTACATGGCGGAATACACTGCAGGTTTGGGATTTAAAGAGCCACAAGGAGCATGGTGCAAAGGGAGATGCTGGTGGCTGCACAGTTCTGTCCAAACCCACGCTGGGTGCTCAGATGTGCAGAGTTTGGTCACTTGGTCATTCCCAGAGCAGAGGCTGAGACTGCTCCTGCAGCTGGTCAGGGGCAAACAGACCCATTCTCCTTTTCCACGGGGCACTTTCCATCCCCTTTTCAACGCCATGGCAACCTTGTCCTTGAAACCTGCTGCTACGTACGAGCTCTGGCTTGGGCTCACAAAAACGTGTGGAAAGCTTTTATCAGAACAACACCTGCTCTTCACAGATACGAACTCCTGACAGTGTTTTATGAGGAGTCTGAATGACAGACCAAAAGGCAAGGTTTTATTTAAAGCAGACAGTCATAGAGCAACCAAGACAAAGTACTTAAGCTGCTTCCAGCTCTGGAGCTATTGAGGTTCCTCATTTTCATCTATAAACAATTTAAAAAACCAAACCACCCTATAATGTAGACTGAGTGGGCTGTAGGTTATTAACAACCAAGGCTAAAAAAAGGTTAGGGAGAGAATATGCTAGCTACCAGGCAAATAGCATTAAATCTTCAGAAGGCTGGTGAATATTCATTGACATGATGGATCAAAATCAAAACACAGCTCCCTGGCAGGTCGCTGGGAGCTGCAGACAGTGCAGATTGCATCGTCAGAACAAAGTCCAGCTACACAGCCTCCTCCTCCCCTGCAAATCCTGCAGAAATTGGTTATTCAAGAAGAAAAAGCAGCAGCCCCTGGCAATCTGGAGGCTTGTGTTAAGGAGAACAGAAGGGACAACTTCCACGCCACATCATATGTTAAGTGTCCTGCTCCCACCTCCTGCTTGTACCTCTGACTGCTAATTAGATCAATAAATTTAAGTCAGATTGTGATCTAATGGTGCCTTCTGGCCTCTATTATTGAGCKGGCCAGAATAAATTAAGCTTAATTGCCCTTGCATGTACAGAGCCAGGGAAGATAGGATGGGAAGGGTCACTGAGGGAACTCATCGCCAAGCCCAAATCTCAAGGCAGGACTGATGGGGCTGAATCATTCCCAAATAACTTTGTTTTCGCAGCAATAAGGGTGGAAATGTGTGTGTTATGGGCTCAACCTGGAAATCCAGATTGAAGAGAAGGAGAAGCTTAGCCCAGTGTGTGACCAGGATGGACAGAGGCCATGGGCTCAGTGACACACTGAGATACAAGTTTAGTTCTCCCCAGCCCTAAAAAGGATCGAGCCTACATCGCCCTGAGCAGTGTTTAAATGAAATCAGTCATTAGGAGAAAATTGGACCCCGGTGTCGCTTCCGCCTTTGCTTTAAGGAAAGAAGAGCAGCAATTACCACTTGCATATTCAACAGCCTGCTCAGCAAGCTAAATTAAACTGCGTGGAGCAACGAGCTGCCAAAGCCTGTCTGTGACCGATGCCCCAACCAGCTGGTCTGGAGCCAGCACCGGTATTGCAGCACTGMGGTCTGCAGCCTAAAAATACCCAACAAGGGCACAAACACATGCAAAGGAGCGCGCACGCTCCCCTTCACACCCGCCTCCTCCTAACCCACCCAGGAGCCAGGAGCTAAATCCTCAAATATGAATATTAGCTTGTTGTTTTCCTGGCTCCCCTCCCAAAATGAGGATGCAAGATCCTGAGCRAGCTCTTTCTCTGAATGTGGAGCTCTGTTCCAGCACATTGCACATGGAGGGAGTGTTTTTGGTGCAAGTGTAAGGTGCTCACTGACCATCTGTGCTGTGCCCTGACCGATTTCAGCATCTTGGGCCATGTCAAGCTTTGCCTCCCCCTGCCCTGCAGAGCTTCAGCACAGCCTGGAATGCTCCCAAACAACAGAAATATTCCAATTCTCATCCATCACTCAAAGTGACCTGTTTGGCTGGGGATGGTTGGGAGGCACTTGGCCTCAGCAAGGACTTTAGGAAGACACCTTCACTGTTACCAAGAGTTAGAGCCAGGTGTGCTGGACCCCTTTTCACAGCACAGAGAAAGCAGGAATTTGGCATTCCACACACTGCACCCCGTGCTTGTCCCACCCCATCACTGAGCAAGGCTCATCCTCCCTCGGTGCCTCTCCCCATGAGTGCAACACCCAGCACAGGGCACAGTGCAAGATAACTCGCATCGTTTTTCTAAATAAACAATTCTGGATGATCTTYCTCCCACTCTAAGTCACATTCAGACCTCCACAGCAATAAAAACTGGATGTTCCCATAGCATTTTTGAGATCAGATGTRCATTTGCAGCATCCCCTGAGAAGCATTAAAGCCTCTCCCAGGCATGTTTTGATTTTTCATCTTACAGACCGATGACTCTAAGGTGAGCACCCTCCTTTGCTCCACTCAGCAACCCAACCCMTTTTTGGGTTTGGTCCTGATTGTGAGCCCTCCAAGGTGTGTTTATGGTGCTTTGCCCATCAAAGAGGCAGCAGCACATCCCTCTCAAGACAAAGAAGTGCTGCTCCATTTCACACTTCCACCAAATCTTGTGCAAGGAAACACTTTTTACTGAGAAAGGTCCAAGCATGATTCAGTTTTAAAAATAAAAGGTTTTACACTGAGCCCTTGCATAGATGAAACGCTCAGAAAGAGGACGGCCTTCCCCTGAGCAGGAGCTCCCTTCCCTCCAACACAGGAGCTGAAAGGATCTGAGCTCATCACCAGCACTTCCACTGTGCTGAGCGTGGTGCTGGTATTCCCAGCACAGCTGTTCCTGTTTAAACCAGAATAATTTTTTGGCCATAAACTCCCATGTTGATTTCCAAACCCCCTTTTCTCCAGTGTAAAGATGTTTTCAGGCACAGGCTGTACAGGGGCGTATCAACAATTATCATCAGGAGGGGGCAAAAAGCCCAAAACACTCAGGTAAAAAGCTTTAAACTATGTGATGACTGCTCTCTCTCTCCATCTTTCTACCCAAAAGAGGATGGGGAYAGGACCCATCCTGCCTGGGATGCAGATGCCAGGAGGACCCTGACTCATCACAAGTGCATCACAAGAGCTGTGATTCTCAGCATAAGCAAATCTCAAAGACTTGTGTTTCATGGATTTATAAATACACCAGCCAAATCCTGAATGACCCCAGATCCTCCTTCCTCTTCCCAGAAATCCTGTGATACTCTGTGAATACAACAAAAAGARTTTTGTGTCTCTAAACCTTGCTTGGGCTCCCTGGAGCAGAAGGCCACCAGCACAGTGCCCCTGATGCCATGAGGAGCAGACTGCAGCCACAGGCTCTCTGCTCGCTCCAGGAATGCC